CGCTCAAACTCAGCCCTTTCACGACACAAGACACAAGAGGCCGACACTTATCACGTTTCGCTTAGCGTAGAAAGTCCATTCGGTATCACCTGCAGCAGCTGAAAGAAGAGGTCACACATATCAACCCAAGAAATCTAGAGCGGAAAAGGTGCGAAGATGGGGGAGATTCTTTTTTTTTTTTTTTTAGTTTTTAGGACAGCTTACAAATTTATTGTTGTCAAGTGCTAGTGGTGCTGCTGTAGTGCTGCTGCTGCCTCTGCTACTACTGCTACTGTGTTGTTGTTAGTAGTGGTGCTGACGGTTGTGATTATATGGTGTGATGGTGGTGGTGCTGCTTCTACCTCAGCTGTGTTAGCATATCCGACACAGAGACACACAAGAATGCTTACAACAACAAACACAAAATAAAAGGCCAGACAACACCAGAACGTTTCAAAACCGCCCGCAAGATCTAGAGCGACGTTGAAAGGGAGGAGGATCACACTAGAGCAAAGGCCAATCACTTGTACTGTGCATGACGTATCTCAAAGAAGGCAATATAGTGAAGCTTGGATGAGAAAGGAGATTGTGACAAGAAGCGCAAAGGCAAAGAGACGACTGTTCAATACAAGGGAGTACTTCGAGATAATAAGACTGGTTTAGCAAAGGAATAGGAGGGACATCGAACCAATCGGCGACGTCCTTTCAACCATATATGCGTCCACTGGGAGCCAAGCGATGAACGCGGAGAAAAGACTTTACGACAGGCTGGCAGACTGGACAAGACAGATCACGAATATTAGACAGTACTGGAAAGAAAAGACGAATTGACTGACTGGTAAATCGGGTTATAGGGACTATATGGGAACTCATGGTAACAAAGACACGTTCTTTTTTTCACTTGAACACACGCACGCACGCATACACAAGCACAGAGAGATATAGATATATATATATATATATATATATATATATATATATATAGAGAGAGAGAGAGAGAGAGAGAGAGAGAGAGAGAGAGAGAGAGAGAGAGAGAGAGAGAGAGAGAGAGAGAGAGAGAGAGATTTTTACATGGTACAATGTATTCAGCACAAGAGCCATAGCTCCCGCCGCATTAAAGATCTAAATAAAAGTACAGTAAACAAAAAAGGAAATAAAAGACAAACTGAAAATTAAAAGTTTCTTTTCTTTTTGTCTTTACTGATCATTCGCTTGAAATAGATAAATCGCCAACAAACGAAGACAAAGACACATTTCAAGTTAAAGAAACGAAGTGTCGAAGACGCTTTTCAAATATTCTGCTCTTTGAATATTGATCTATTACTTATTAATTACTACGGACTGTTGTGCAGCGAAACACGACCGTAAAAGACAACAAATACATACGACGACACCAGTCTACCGATCAGGTTGAGAACAGAAGTGTACAAGACGACAACAGACAGAGCGAGACTTTGCTTTGTTATGTGTAAATGTTATATCCACGGAGTGCAGATTATGACAATGACAAATGAACTTATCCAAGACGACCATTCATTGTTGAGGGGGGGGGGGAGTGTTATATTCGACTTAGGAAATCCTTTCCGACTGCATCTTTATAATAGAAAACTCGGAGAGAGAAGCCCACGGAAGGTGCCGTTCGTACAGGTGATTGTCTTAGGAAATAGGCGAGTGGTCGCAGAAGTTCGAGAAGGGCCCATAACTGAACGCAATACCTTCACCTAAACGAAGCGTAAACTTGTCGAGACAAACTAAACCCATTATGTCGGCTCCCGCCAGAGCAGACTATTCAGTTCTGTTGAAAAGGCCGCCGAATTAAAACTCTGTTGACTTGAACACATAGTATTATCAGGTATACCGCGGCCTACCGCTGTATTTTCGTAAAGGTTTAGCGGCCGCGACCCTTGCTCGGGTGACCTGTGAGTCACCTTCCCCCAGTCAACAAACGACATTGACAAACACTGAGCGTAACGGCTAATAAATTTGGCGGTATATTACTGCGGACAAAAGAACACGTTGTGTTAAAGTAGCTTTGACAATACTAGGCAGTGAAAGAGTTTTAAGTTTGTAACGAAGACTGGGTGATAACGTTTACATGACATCAAACCCCGTTGTTTATCCTATGGTTTTGAAAGAGCTTTTATGTAAATAAAATTGACAAGAGCGTTGAAAAACAAAGTACATAATATTATGTATTTGAAATGTGTGAGGATAAAAAATAAAATATGATTTTATACAGTAGTATTTCTGTAAAACCCACATCGTATATAAGTGTCGAGTGTCAATACTGTCCATTGTAAGGGGAGAGGCCCATGAACAATTACTAGAAGACACGGAAGACATATATTTGACTTGCACCAAAACTGAAGAGACCCCCTCTCCCCCCCCCCCCCCCCACCCCAAGAAAAAATAGGTACGTATTAATTGTATTAATCCCATGTGAAGTTCTGAAACTCCTACTGCCTGAAAATTATGCATTAAAAGCTTGCAGAATCCATGACCGGCAAAGATTTTGAGCTTTCATAAATTCTTCCATGCCTAAAGAGGTATGCAAGACACTCAGTGCCAAGAAATATTTTTTAAAAGACAGAAAAAGAACAGGCAAGTGTAAACTGACACGGTTTGCTATCTGACTGAGAGGTAGGCCCACTGTCTTTCAACAAAGAGCAGAGCTTTAACATGAGATTTATGGTCATGGTTACACTAAAACCCTTGGCTCAAACTAGGATTGATAATCACATGCAGAAAAGTCCTATTTCCTCAATACGCAAGAGAGAAGAGGGGATGAAGGAAACAAGAAAAGAGTTAGAATGTCAGATCAACATGATACCATGACACAGACAGGCAATCTCTGACAACAATCAAACTGACACACACATACATCACTAAAAAGACAACCAGAGGCACTGACAGGCGCTTCAAACACAAGAAAACAAACAGGAAATAAACACACAAAAGGACCGTCAAAGGAAGATGGAGTGCTCAAACGAATAGGAATAGGATCCTTTTTTAAGTTTAGAAAGGAATAGGATCCTCTTTTAAGTTTAGAAAAAAAGAAACTGACAGTAAATTATAGCACACTATCAACTCATTACGGCACAAAACTGATCACAGACAGAAGGGAAAAGTGCATATATTAGCATTATTGTGGGGTCAGATTATTCTGTTTTGGGAATACAAAAAAACATTCACATTCTGTGCCTTGAAGTGAAGTACTTAAAATGATTCTTGACATTTCTATTCAAAGATAAAACAGTGCCAGTGGAGAGATTTTAAATGAATCATGATTACACACTGCTTAGCAGAGATACCATCATCAAAAGTACACTCCAACCAAGCCACTGAGACAACACGACTCAATTGCTGAGCAACATTTTAGAGATCAAGAGGTTGAAGGCAAGAGAAGAGCTCCAAGGGGTAATTTTACTTTTTACGCTTCTCTTGAAAGCATTGCAACCCTTCAGCTAGCAAGAAAACAAGCTGCTATCATCATCCATGGCCTTTAAAGTAAGTGTACATGATGTGAGAGCAGATAGAAGATGCATTTTAACCTGTCACAATGTACATCAATGATGTTCTTACTCCTGGTTATATTTGTTTAAAAAAAACAAGCAAAAATAGATCAGATATTTCACCTTTCTATTCTCTTGTAAAATCCTGTGAGAGAGTTTTGACAGAGATATATATATATACTTAAATATTTCAGACACTACATTACGGGAGTCGACAAGACAGAAAAGGCGATTTAGGAGTTACATTATAAATTATTAAAGGGATCAAAATGATAGTTCTATCAGAAAAGTCATATATAGAGTCTATATATATAATAAATATACAATAAAAATGTAACCTGTGCAGTGAAAATTCAAACATCAATCGTATTCCAACTGAAAGTTTATTTTGTAGAGGTAGTAACTAATTCAAACAATATTTCTGTGGCTATTTCATTTCACATGAATTTAAGTTTGATCTCATTGGCCAGAAAAAAACTCATTATAACGTTTATTTTCCCGAACGTTCGGAGAAATAGTCACTTCGTAAAATTATAATTTTAAAACACAACATGGAGAGAACAAGACAAGCTTTACAATTCACTATCATTTTACGAATCCTGATTAAACCAAGAATACACAGTAGGCCCCCTCTTTCTTTATAAATTTAATGATCATGATGAAGACCATTTTCGCTATGATTACTAGATCTAGACAACCGCTTCAAGACTTCAACAAATCTACACGCAGCTCTTCTCATTTTAAAAAATCTCACTTATTTCTTAAAACAATTAATCTACATATTCTTGATCAAAGCCTATCTTGGTCCAGTCAAAGACATATATTTTTACTCCTCAAAATGTTCACATTCTGATAATTAACTTGGTCTAGATCTACACATGCATCATATAATTACTAAAACAACATCAAATCTTTTCAATATCTATGACTAGACTCTAGATCTAGATTCTAGATCTAGATCTAGATATCTTAGATCTAGATCTAGATCTAGATCTATGTGATATAATTTAATATTTTGCATTTCATTCAGATAAAACCACTTGATAACCCACGCACTTCCAGCCATCATATAAAATATAGTCTAGATTCTAGAAACAAAACATTTCATGTGCTCCATTAAAGGAAATAGCATGAAAACGTTAAAAAATCGATTGCCCCGCGATAGCGAAAGTCTTTGTTATCAACACTGGTTATTATTTCTACATCCAGTGTGTGTACCAAGCTGCACACACAGTGATGTTATGTTATCTAGGCTTTCATATCCATTGTTTTTAAATTTAAATGTTCGTCAATCATAAAGTGTTCACGATGAGATTAAACTATCAAACGTGTTTTAATCGCAATGAATAATACATGGCTTCAAGTTCACATGAAGCCCTCAAATGTCGTAATGCGAGCTGAGGACTGCCCTCTCAGAATAGTGAATCATACACTGGCTGGGTACCGGGTGTTGACATGAGAAAAAAGCAGACGAAAGACGAAGACGTTCTTATTAGAATGGCTTCTTACCTTCACGCATGTCAACTTTACTTGTCGGCTTGCCTGAATCAGCAGCCATCTTCTAGAACATAAATATTAACTTGAACTCCATGTAATGTAGTAAAATCCAAAGGGAAGAGAAAGAATCACAGCATCATAACAATCTTCCTTGAACACAGTCACCCCGAAGTCGCCATATTTGATGAGATTTCAATACTTCAGGAACAGAGCACTCTGTTTTTATTGATTTTTTCTACAAGAGTAGCTGAGTTCGTTCCCATGTTCTGCGAATACGGACTGGACGCGGAGAGGAGGAGCGAGAGGCTTTCCGCGTCTCTCTTTGTGATAGACAAATGCTAGGCCTACAGTCACCTCTTCCATTTTGTGACAAAATAAAAGAAGTTCCGTCTTGCTGTTCCAGACAGTAGTTGGACTAATCTGGGGCTGCAGTGTTCACCAGATTTCAAATTAGATCTACGTGATTCAAATGCAATGTATAAAATTATCAGACAAACTGGAGGTGTTGTTCGAAACAAGGGGGAGGAGGGCGGTTTACCATTTATTAGTGGGAGTGGGTAGCTCCTTTAAGATTAAGAGAGACACGATATTTACTGTGCAAATTACTGTACCGTCTTTTCATATAAAATTATTTCTTAAGATGTAGCTGTTCCATTCATTAAAAAGTCTGACATATTTTTACTATTCTGCTTCGAGACACACTGACACTTGGCCTGTTTTTAGAGCCGCAGGCCTAAATCATTCACACTTTCAAGGTTGTAATACATTTTACACCTATGTGATTGCTAAACGTTGAAAACCATTCATGCGTCTTTGCCTCAGCAATTCATTTAACTGCCATATAGCCTACTGTAATATAATGTGCTTTCCAAATCTTTTATTCCCCCAGTTTATACTGATTCACTACTGCATCCGTAAGCAGCCAGACCGATTGATGGGCTCGTATTTCACAAATCGATTTCTTTATTTACAAACTGCATTTATTATTTTACATTGTTTATTAACTTAAATGTGTATCGGTTTATTCATCAATAAGGTCTTCACGAGGCGTTCCAATAAGGTCTTCACAATCACATGTTGACTAACCGAAACGTAGAGCTGAGAACGTTGGTGGAGCAAGGTCCAATTTATTTTGGACAGTACATGTAGAAAAGAACAACCAGTAGGCTAAAGGTATGTCGTTTGTCTACGAATTTACAAGCTTACACGCATCACACCATGCCATCCCGGAAATTACGAGTTTGTTTTTCGATTTTAAAAAAAAATAATTTTTTTGGGGGGGGGGGGCCCTTTTGGGGAGGCCTGGGGGGCTGGTGGTTGTTTGTTTGTTTTTTGAAGACAAGATACAAGTAAGACTTCGGGACATAATCTTATTATCAGTTCATTGTCAGTGTGCCTGTTTAAAGTACGGCACTGATGCCGCTGCGTCTTTTCACATCGTGCTCCACGTTCTCTCTCTACTTAGCCCACTTCACTTTACACTTTACTTCTGTCGTTTGCGTAGCTCGCCGTTTGGTCGATGCAGAAATTTTGTTTCTCTATTTCTTTTGCTCAACCGAGACATTGCTTCGATTCATGCCCCGGTAAGTTTACCTGTTATTTGCAGTATTTTATTTTTCCACCTTCACCTGAAGTGAAAGGTCTGCCTCCCATTCTTCCCTCTTTGCAAGGTGCTAATTTTGTATGGAAAGTCTTGAGCGAATAACAAGAAGCACGCTGACCTTTGCTTCCCCCGACAACCAGCATAGCCAACTAGCCTACTCTATTAATAAAATTTATTTTAAAAAACCAAAAAAAAACTATTGTTATCTCTTTAAAAAAACACACACAAAAACTAGATCTAAACCGTACAGATGTGCAGACATGCTTTAACAAGGCGCACGTGTGTGTGTGCGTGTGTGTGTGTGTGTGTATGTGTTTGTGTACGTGCGTGTGTCTTTGTGTTTGTGTGTGTGTATGGGTGTGTGTGTTTGTGTACGTGCGTATGTGTTTGTGTGTGTGTGTGTGTGTGTGAGTGTGTGTGTGTGTGTGTGTGAGCGTGTGTATGTGTGTGTGTGTGTGTGTGTGTGTGTGTGTGTATGTGTGTGTGTTGCGGTTAAGCACCGTTGCAGTGGCGTCGGTGGCATAGAGGTTGGACTACTTGACTCGTTATCGTGAGGTGGCGGGTCCGGGGGTTCAAGTTCAAGTTCAAGCCTCAGCTTGGCCCGACGTCGTGTCTTTGGGAAAGGCACTTTACACGGATTTCCCACTTGGCTTGTTTTTATCGGAGATGGACTTTAAACTAGGAGGTCCTGCCTCTTAAATAATCCAACAGTGTTGATATGGGCATTAATAAACTTATACCATTTTCATTTCAACGTTGCACACAGAAGACGTCAGTTTGATTTCAGAGTGGTGAAGTTTTTGTATGAGTTTACATGAGTTGTGTGATCGATCTACATACTACATGTATACATAATACATGTAGGCCTACATAGTTTTAATAAATATGCAAACTCCTCAGTATCTCGTATAGATCTAGAGATCACACAACTAATGAAGCATTGAGAACCAAAATTAGAAACGCTGTCGAGTCGAACGAAGACCTGATCCTAACTTCAGAAAACATTAAAGACTCAAAGTCAAACTGAAATGGCACAAGGCACGTTGTACGATAATTCGGACAGGCCAAGACCATTCTACGGATACAAGTAGGGAAAGGAAGAGGCAGACAGACAGAGGAAAGCATCGCAAGACAATATCAAAGGGTGTACTCGAGTAGTGGTAGTAACTGGAATCTCACACTACGGAAAGCTGAGAACCGTGAAGAATGGGTGAAGCTGGCAGAAAAAATCCACACTAGTGGTGCCCTAATCTGTCCCCGCGGTTTTATGCAAAAAAAATTCTGAAATTATGCAAGCTGAGCTTTAAAAAATGTGAAATTATGCGAGAATGTTAATTTTAATAAGAATGATAAAGGAAAAAAAATCAGAAAATATTTTTAAAATTACTGTATCAAATTTCGCTAAATTATGCGGGGTGCATATATAACCCCGGAGACAGCCTGATGCGGTAGGCCAGACCATGGGATAAGTGAAAGTGAAGGACCTCTGCCTGCTGGGAAGTAAACCCACTCAACCCAGTTGGACCTGGAAGGAAGGCTGGAAGTAAGATCTAAACCCTTATGTATAGGCCTACTAATATTGTGTCGACGAGGCGGTCAGACACGTTTATAAAATATGATTTACTAATCAATGTTCATAAATTCTGTTTCAGACCACACACTAAAAGACGGCGGCCAATCACGTTGGTCTTCTACTTCAGGCTGGTCTTCATTGATATTGACCCCAAAAATGCAGATAACTACATAATATGTACATTTAATTGATGTAGCAGTAGTAGTAGTAATAAAGTTTGAAATCACGAACATGTATAAGGCCACCCCCTCCCCAGGCCCCTTCAAAAAGATCCAAAGCCACTTAAACCCGACTACAACAAAACCAACTACCCCCCCCCCCCAATACACACAAAAATAAACCCCCAGTCATAACAACAAAAACATTACATTCCGAGGTAGATCTAAGTCATTTTCTTCACACATCATAGAAGTAACTGACCAATGAATAATTGAATATGTGAATAATTGAATACGTCTATATACAAATAATACAATGGGTAATGTCGGGTGGTTGGAGGGGTGGGGGATGTTCCTCTGTATCATGGCGCCACTGCGTCTCTTGCAGGAATAGTTGTTATTGTAGCAGAATATGTTGAAAAGAATTCCTACGACTTCGCCGCAACCCCCCCCCCCCCCCCCCCCCCCCCCCCCATACACACACTCCCCAAGTCCAAATTTATTAAGAACGTTTTCGCCCCCGTCGGTAGGCTACATGTTCAACAGGGGTTCTCGTGGCCTAGGCGTTAAGGTGTTCGCTTCTTTAAAAAAAAAAGGTCAATTCAATAGGTCGCGGGTTCGAATTCTTTCCTGCTCTCTAACAACGTTCTGTCGTCTGCTTTCGTCTCCACTTTCTGTCCCACCCCTCACCTCCTATGCCCCCTCCTCTGCGCTCCTGAGTCTTTCTGCAGCCTTTCTACTTCTACTGCTACTCCTTGGCCCCTTCTTACTGCTTTCTTTCAGCCACACCCCTGATCTTAAGGCACGATGGGAAAGATCTACACCTAGCCTTCTCGGACAAGTGAGAAAAATCTCGGAGATCCAGAGTCAAAATTGCGTACGTTAAAGATCCCTCGGTGGTCCAAAATCGATAAAAGTAGGCTTCGGCCACCACCGGGGCAAAATTCAAAGTTTCTCACAAACTGAAAACGTCGCTCATATGACATTGTGCAGTTGCGTGCGCCGTAAAACACTTACCAAAAAAAAGCCCCCGAAAGAAAAAGAAAAACACGTTCAACCATTCCAGTTAAGATTCTACTAAACTAAATGAGAAGAGGGAGACTTCGAGCCTGCTGCCAGGACCAACCCAGGTTGGACCACAAAGCAGGATACAGTGGATACCGTACTTCTTTCGGGCAGAATAAGGCAGACATACAACTACAAGTAGCCTACTCCATCAAATACATTTTCCCACAGTTGAATTGAACTTCAGGAACAGTTTGTGGGGTGCAAGAGCAAGAGTGAAAGGTATACCGTTATACAATAGTAGTTGTAAAACCCCTCGTTTCTAACGAAATCCTGCTCTTCTGGGCGATGGTCCGCAAACGAAGCTCCTAGAAAAAGTTGGCAATCAATCTCAAGAAAAAAAATACATTGTATAAAAATAAGCGTACAGGTTCGAATTTAAAGGGAAAATGGCGTTCACTTTCATAGTAGGAGAATCTTATTACTACTACGGGTCTGAGATTTAAAAAAAACACTTGTAAAAAGTAACATACGATACTTTTTCAAATAAAATTGTTTTTTATTGTTGCTTTAAAAAAAATTTTTGTTTCTGTTTTGTTTGGTTTTTTGTTTGTTTTAATTCAGTAGGCCTAACCCTTTCGGACCGCTGCCAACCGATCCCATCCCTTCTCTAGGCACATGATACATTAATTTTTTATCTCCATTATGTGCGTCTATCTTAGTGAAAGTTCGCCGCTTTGGTCGCCTAAAACTTCCGAACCATTCAACTTTCGAATTTGGAAAAAAATACGGTGGTTCAGAATCATTTAAATGGCGCACAGTTATAGGAGTCTGAAGTCACTGTAGTTTAAAGTTCAGTTTTCAT